ATCATACAAGAACGGCGTTAACAAATCAAATGAACAAACAACAACATGTTAGAGCACATACATCTGGATGGGAAAACCCAAGCAAAAACCAGCTAAGGGAAACACACACACACACACAAATGGGAAACACGCACACACACATGATTACACATGCTTGCTTTCCTGTTGGGCTGACTGCCGAGGAAAACAAGCACATGTTGGGCCAAGACAAACATGACAACACACTGCTGCATTTGTTGCCAGCCACTCTATTGGTTCGTTCATCTTTCGCCACCAGCCATTTGTGTCAGAGCAGCCATTTATGTCGGACAAAAAGGATCACAACAGAATTCGGCCTGCACAGCTAGAACTCCAGAATAACTATTCAAATGGCTCAAACGGGAATGCAAGGTTACTAACAGGCGGCTGGTCTTATATGAGCCACTGTCAAAACATGCTGTTCCCGCAATGGCAAACTTATAAAGTCTTCCTGGTCTTGGGAACTAAAACTCCCGCTTTCACTCACTATTTGTGGAAATGGCCCTTGTCTTACTTGAGCACAGAACCTGGAAACGACAGCTTAACCTTTTGGGGCCCGAAAGGCAAAACCAAAGCGATACAAGGTCGGCTTTGAACAGCTGAGGTATCCAATCTCTGTGGACAAATTTGTGGAGAACCCACTATCACAATAAGAACCAATGAGTTCATGGGCGTGTCAGAATAAGGGACCCCCCAACAATGGGTGATGGTTCTCCTTTTTGGTCTCCCTTCAAGTCAACCTGAAAAGTGTACCCTCAAAAGAAGACAAACCCACCTGTGATGTTCCAACACCCGTGTCCCGCCCTTCGCGAGCTCGCGATCGAAAGAAAATCATCCGCTCCGCTGAGGGGAGCAGTGCAGTGACCGCCGAGAGGTCGCCCTGGAGGGCCATCTCGCACAGGGCCTCTCGCGTCAAACTGCCAGGGGGTGCCAAATGTAAAGCCTACTTTGGGCAAGGAATGTTCCATACCCCGAGGTGTCTGACAAGCAATGAAACATGTTTGGTACAAGCGCCCGCCAGGAAAACAAGCTCCACTAGCAGTCAAACTTGCCTGTGGAGCTGACCCAAAAGATCAACCTGCCGTTCTGGGTGAAACGGTCGCGAGGAAGAACCCAATAAACCGCGCGAATGGGCCCAGGGCCAGTGCAAAAAAAAGCAATGCGTTCACAAACGCACTGTGGCAGCGTGCGCACTCGCGGTCATGGCAACACGCTCAGCCGCCCTCTCATCCCACTGTTTCACAGCTGCTCAGTGATGCTTGCCGCTTTGCGTATGACCCGGCCCGTTTTGAGGGTTCGATGGCTCCATGATGCAACCCTGAGATATTTTCAAATTGAGCGCGGATGCGACCCATCTTCCTCCATGAGACGCACGCGCACCTTCCATTTGGTGGAGCCCATGAAGGACTCATGGTTTGCTTGCGCTCTGTTTCCCAAACTTCCATACCTTCGCTTCAGCTGTGCTGTAGCTACCCCGAAGGCTCACAACTTCTGCCCGGCATTTCAGGGCGCCGAGTCCAAGGTCGAACCTAGAGTCCAGCGTTTGGGCTCCAAAGAACCATAGAAGCTCCAGGAGGCCATTTTGCGGAAAGCGCACTACCCGAAGCTTTGATCACGACTCTACACGAAGCCCTGCACAAGATGCCAGATCTCGACCAAACCCTACCATGACAAAAGCGGTCAGAGCTGTTGCACCCCCACTTGTTCCTTCCAGGGCTCCCCATATTTCCCACCAATCGCCGCCAAGGAAAGCTCACTTTAGAGACTGGCCATACAGAGGATCTTGCAAGCAACCAAATGGAAACATATCGGGACCCCTACGTTACCCCGAGCCCCACACATAAAACCCGCCCACGAACCCCACCTGCGACTGCAGTTCATCCTCCCGGACGGCTCGGACCTCGATCCGTATCCGAAAATCCGAAGCCACGGCCGAAGCCTGGGAAACACCACCCTTCCAAAACAGGGCTGTGGTTGAAATGGAATCCACGAATCTGTGATACGCCAAAAAGGGCATAAAAACTACCCCCCCATAGAAAGCGGAGATTCCCAAAGATATCACAGAAGTGGTTGGATAAACCCCGAGTGGTCCCACAACCCTTCCACAAGGAATGTCCATCAACGTTGGAAAAGGCATGCAAACCTCCGGTTTCCCTCTGGCTCCATTTTGACCAGCTGCCAAAGCCAAAAAAAAGAGATCCACACCCATGCCACTTTCGTGGATTGGAAGCCAACAAGTCCCAAACCCTTTCATTAAACACGGAACTGGCCTTCCTAAACAGTATAAAACAGGCCTCATAATTTGACCGCCATCAAAGAAAAACCTAAATGGTAGGTTAAAGGGAAAGAACCCATTGTCTGACTCTTATAAATCTTCTATAGAAGCAGTCAAAAAACGACTCTACCAACCGCATCCCACGGCTCGTAAACTCCTCGCCTGCGGCTTTTCGCGCTCATCCGAGTCGTAGGAGCTGGACCTGACGTTGGCCCCTCTCTGCCCGAGAGTGTCCATTTGTTTCCAACCCAAAATGGAAAGTCCCAATTGAAGTCCAGCAGCTGAGGTTTAACTATGGAATCATAATTAAGACAGAGGTTCCAATATGTCATTTGTTCATACTGTCAATGGTTCAAGAAATGACACAATGCTACAGGTATTGTGTGTGTGTGGTATGTCTGCGCGTGTGCGTGTTGAGAATTGCTGTCAATCCGTCTGTCAAACGCCAACACCGCTGGCATTGAGCGGGCTTCGTCTGGGCTATCTATATTAAGCTTACTGCGGGGGGTGCGACCAAGGCCCCTCTAAAGGGTCTGTTCATGTGAGGTAAAACAAAACTGGACAGAAGATCTGAGGTATACTCCGATCGTGGTATGAAAGACATCTACCCAACAAGGGTCAAGAATCACGTGGGCGGCTGCACCGAGATAAAACAGACGCCCTACTACTAAAACTTGAAGCACCCACCAGTCCAGCACTATGTCTTGCAATAACACGTGGATCTCCATGAAAGCAAGTCAATTTCAGAGCCAATCTCAGTTTACCCAATTTGGTTGAGTGGTTAGAGGGTACCTTCCCACCTGCTGTGGGGCAAATGCCCAAACCACCAAACCAAAACTACTGAATCAACAACCAAAGCAACCCAACAGAACAAAACCGCCATGGAAGTGCACAGGGATCCCGTTGGAAGACCTTTTTTCCCAAGGGCCTGAGCACTTCCATCAGGTAACCACCGAGAGGGAAGCTGAAAGTGCAGCTGTTTTTGTTTGAAACTGAGATTGCCGTTGAGTAAGGGAGACCTTACTGTGGATGATAAATTCCTGCACCAGTTGGGATGAATGAAGCCCTGTGAATACTGGAGTACACTAGCAACTGGTGCGAAGTGGAACTCGTCCACAGTGGCGCTCCATACCTTCAAGCTCGAAAGACAAACACAAACCACCAATCCAACCCACCAATTCGGAATTACCCGATATGGACCATAGGGCATTCCTGCGTATGGACCAAATCCTGTAAGATTGGGATGGATGAAACCCGATAAAAGGGACAAGCCACCTCTCGGTTGCTTTCTGCTCCCCTGCTAAAAGTTTAACTTTCAGTGATTTAATCGAAAACCCATTAGTTGGCAAAAACTTAAAGTCCTAACATCCAAGCAAAATGCAACAAAGACCTGTCAACTGTTGCAGTATATCGTCCAGTGAAACCAATGATCGCCTCGAGGAGGCCGTGGTCGGCACGTCCCGCGTGTCCCTCGCCTGGCGAGTCGAATCGAGCAAACAAAAAACATCGGACCCTATATTCGCCCTTATAACAAACCAGTCCACCAAACAAAACAGATCCAAGAAAAAGGAGTCAAGGTATCCAAGTAGCCTCTTAGGTACTTAGGACGTCAACCTTGGGGGCACCCTGAAGGTCAACAAGGGGTCAAAGTACATCCTCAAAAGGTTCTTGGACACTTTGCGAGCTAATATTCGAATAGCCAAAAAAGGTAGGGCCCACAGGAAGACCAGTCGGTCGTTGATTCAAAAGCTGCTTGGGTCTGGCAGGGCTCCCATGACTCAGCCAGTACAAGGATGATTGCGTAATCGACCAATGCACTGAATGTAGCTCATACAATTCATGCTTAATAGATGCAATATACATATAGATACACACGTATATATAAATTGCATGCAACTAGACAAGCCATATTCAAGCCATGGCCATTCGGGGCCCACCCCTGAGTAGTACGGTCAAGATGAATCGAAGCTAACATTAGTCTTCCGGCTTTTCACCTCAAAGTTGCCATCCAAACTCAATTGTTCAGCGCTGAAATACACAAAGAGTACCCTCAATACACACCCAATTAGGTGGGCTGTTTGTGACTTTCTAGTCATCCGTTGCTTCTCGGGAAAAACCTGTCAGCGACCCTGGAGAAAAGTTGGAGCCCGAGCAAAAGACAGCTATGCCTCCCAGACCGCACCGGCACTCAGCGCATGCTTGCGGAGCGAACCCGTTTTGAGAGGCTAACCCGCTTTGAAGGGCTAGCCCGTGAAGGGCTAACCCGTTTGGAGGGGCTAAGGGTTGAGGGTTATAGCATTCTTTCTTGCCTGTTGAACAGACATGACCCTAACCACAAACATGTGCACAAACAAGTGACAAACTATTTTCCATGCTCACATTTCCACATAGCCTAACAACAGCCCAGGTTCAGATATGGGTCTATAGGTGAAAACATGCCAACTGCTCCAAGTTAGATACTCTCTTGAACGCGGGCTTGCAGGCTGGCACGAGCTATTTTATCCGCGCAACGATTCTGAATGCCGGCCGAGGTCTCCGATCTCAAGTCTCCGCGTCCGAGGCTTCATGTGAGGACGGCCTTCACCTCCGCTCCACGCAGGTCTCCTAGCTCATGCGCCGCTTAGATCGCTTCACCTGGCTGACTCTAGGGGCAGCTGGCCCCCTGATCTGCATGAGCCCGATTCTTGGTGTGCCCTGTTCCGCGTGGTCATGTGGCAAAGGGGTCGCTGTCAGGACCGGCTTCGCAGCCTCGGCAAGTCTCAAGTAAGAGGGATATATATGGCCATGGGTCAAAAGCCAAATCGTACCCCAGTGAACATCGCAATCCCCACTAAAACAAACTAGAATGGGTGGTGCACCTACCCCCAAATGGTACCATTGGTTTTGACCCACAGCCATATGCAAGAAAATGCCCCCGTCGTTGCTGGAGTCATTGGGTGTCTGTCCAACCCATGCAAAGGAACAGCTCCCATTTGCCAGCTTTCAGCGTCCTGCAAAAGCTTATGCGTTTCGAGGAAAACCTCTGATGTATGTTTCTCGATTCTAATGACACTTGTTCCCCATGACTCTTCTCTCAAGGCGTATCATGTTCTCTTCGAACCTGCCCTAAACCTCGGGATTATGAACTTGCTCCAAAGCCGATGAATGCGACACTGGTTGCAAGCAAGCCGTTGACTTGTGCTGCAATCTGAGTTTTGTGTCTGAGTTTGGGCCTTCGCGGCAGAATAATATTATGAATCTGGCGTGCAATGACATCAAATCCGGTGGGGAGCACAACCTTTTTGGTCCTTCTCTCCTTTCAGAAAAGAGATCACCGCACTCCACGGGAATCAATAATTTAACGCAAGCATAGGTGCTGCTAGGCTCCTCCCCAAGACACACGTCTTGCGATTCTCTGCTCAAGCGGCTGTCTTCCAAGTTGTAGCCAAACATGGTGCCCATGCGCCGCGCCCATGACAGAAGCTGCGTGGGCATGTGGTCGTAGCCTGGACGAACCACGAACCACTCGCCCGGTTTGACGGTCGAATCCGACGTGGGAGAACAGAAACCAAAGCCTGGGTAAGGTCTCCGGATCCCATGTTTAGACACGGCAGCAAACATGTGAGTGCTCTTCAAAATGAGGGACCCCTTCAGGTGGCCGACAGTTCCTTTCGGTTTCCTCTTCAATGCATTCAAAAAAGGGCACCCCTATTCTGAGAAACATGTGGCCGCGGTTCTCAGGTGCACCTTAGGCGCGCTGCCTCATGAACCGCCCCCAGCCCCGCCTTTCACGCCGATGAGGCGCTCCTTCGGCACGAAGCGCAGCACCGCTGCATCCAGGTCTGACGGCTGAAGAAAGGCATAGACCACGTGGCTGAAATACTGCTCCGACAGCCTCGCTTGTGCCACTGCGCCGTTATACCCCAAACTCAAAAGCCACGAGTAAAAGTCGGAGTGATCTGGCACGTGCAATGTGTTGGTAAAGCCTTGTATATGTGCATGTTAGAGCATGCCTCATGCAAGCAATCAGAAAGTTTACAAGGCTCAGCAAGTGCAGCCCATCGTTGCATCGTTGAATCTGGGGAGTTGCCCTAAAGGCCCGATTAGCACTTTTCGGCGGGGAGTTGGCCTCTGAAAGGAAAGCAAAGGAACTTGAATCTCTTGCTCACTTCTTGCGTGATTTCTCTAAAACACACACTGTTGACTGTCGCTGTGAACACTAGTCCCATAAAAGTCAAAACTTGTTGTGTCGCACTGAATGAGCTGTTGGTCGTTTCCCTAAAACAAACAGTCCCCAACCGGAAGCAAGCTGTTGTTTCGGTCATTTTGGAAGCGAATCAATTCGCTGGCCACCAAAGTTAGCCGACTGGAAAAGAACCCAGAGCTATGATGGAATTTCAAGGGGCCCGACAACCAGATGAAAACACCCCAGAACTCCAGTGCGAAATTGTGTCGGGCATCTGCTGTTGTAAGACTGGAAGGACATGCACACATGGACTCTTGACGTGTACCTTGTTGCGAGGAACCCTAAAACGCGGTCCATCAAAAGGGACCAACAGCTCTGTACAGAACTTTCATGGCCCCCTTGTTGGGAAATCACCAACCCGCTGAACGCCTGCATGTTCTGATCCTCCTTGTTGGGAAATCACCAACCCGCTGAACGCCTGCATGTTCTGATCGTCTCATGATGGGGTTCGCAATCAAGGTGGACCCTGGCTTGGATGAAGAGGAAGCAAAAGTAAGCAAGCCCTTGCAGGCGTCCAGTTCCTAGTTGACAAGGAATTGGAAACATCGTCTCCCAAAGGAATGGAAAACACGTCTCCCAAACCCCGGCCGTGGGAAGAAAGAGCAATCTGTTTGTTGGTAGTGGACTTTGAAGGGTCCCCTCCAAACAGGGAACCCCCAAAGGAAGCCCGAATTCCTCAATTCCCCCCATACGAGGCGCTGCTTCTCCAGCTGTCTCTTCTCACGATTCAGCGAGACCCAAGGCAGGCGCCAGCGCGCCAGCATGAAGGGGTGCCGCGGGCCTCCGGGAAAATGGGGTGACCTGTTTGGAGGAAACAGGCGGGTACAAAACCTGGCCTCCATTTGGTTAAGTCCCCTTGGAAAAATAAAATAACATCTGTTTGTTTGCTTGTGACCTTTTTGGAGGGGAAGGCCTTTGGCTTGGCGTTAAAGGGAAGCCAACAGGAAACTAACATTTTTTAGAGTTGGTGTTCCGTTTGAGGTTGGCTTAAAAGGGAAACCAAAAGAGTGACGACCAGCTTGGCGGTCCAAAACCGTTTGTGCTTTTTTTTTGGGGGGGCGGGGCGCTTTCGGCGCCCGAGAAGCGACTTCAGCTTCAGTTCTTAGAGAGGATCTGCAAGATTTGTCTCCAAACAGGAGATGCCCACCAAGTCACCCCAAAGTATTGCTATGCCTTGGTGTTTGCTACGCGTTCCCGACGGGACATGAGCAGGTGATCACCTTTCGAGGAAGTGCAGGCAAATCAAACATTGGAACCAACCAAATGGTCAACATGGTGACCCAGTGGCATTGGGGAAGTAAGCTTTGATTCAAGCACATAAACTGGTCTTCCAGCCGGCACTCAGTTAGGAATCCATCTTGCCATCCAAATGCAGCCGGCTAGGCCAAGGCCTGGCACATAATGTATGTACCATCACTTTGGCCTTGTCGCTTCAAAGGTCAAGGCCCTTGCTGTCGCCGCGTTTCATGGCAATGTAATTGCTGCGAGGTAAAACATCATCAAAGCACATTAGAGGTCATGCAAAGGTGACTGCGTTGACTTCAGGTGAATATCTGCCACCCGGTTTCCGTGCAGAAACCGATATTAGCCACCTTCCCGGTTTCCGCACTGGGGCATCTCCCGAAGGAGACGCTTCCCTCTCAGCGCCCAGCGACGTCGCAAGTCGGAAACTCGGCCCCGCTTTGCACTGTGGATGATTGACAGCATGAAGCCCTCTGACTACTGGGGAAAAACCACCTGGTGCAAAGCGGATGTTCTCCATCCACGGGGCTCCATAAATTCCTTTTTAGAAAGGCAAACACAAACCCATGGCTACAAGTCACCATTGTGGTAGACAACCACAAGAAGCTTCAAGTAGAACCTAGCCGTAACAACAGCGGGAACTGGAAGCAACCTCGGCCACCTCTGTTTGGCGAAATATGCAGGATATACACCCGGCAATTCCCCCACCGTTCGCAGGCTTTTAACTCCCTGAATGACCAACCTTCTTGCAGCCAAGTAGGAACGGTGTTGACAGAGATTCGACCAAACGCGAGCCCCGCGTAAAGCGCTCTTGCCTCTAGATGCGCCCGCAAGTCGTCCAGGAGCAGGCTCATAGACAGACTGCTTCAAAGGATAGTCCTTAGAGCTGGAACAAAAAGAGCGGGGCGGGGGAGGAACGTTCATGTGGGCGTGTCTTGTTGTTCAGGGTACTTTGCTCTTTTTGGTTTTGGCCGGGGGGGGGGGGGGTTAAGGGCAACCACAAGGAAAACACCGGTGGGCTCCCCTGAAAAAAAACACTGCTATATCTCCTCAAAGCCCGGGGAAGTGCAAGGGACCAACCATAGCTGCGGATATCCGCCCTGTTTCTCTATACATGGCTTTGGGTATAGTTCACGGACAAAAATCAACATTTGTGTGTGTGTGTGACTCTGTTTGCCCAGAGCACAAGACCTTTACCAGCTATGACCCGGAATGCGCAAGTAGTTGGAGAGCGAATGGACCACAAACCCTGGCCACGGACACAGGTAGATTGCCATGGCTAGATCTGGGGTACCTGGGTCAGTTCCGGCAAATCCTTGTGACAACCTAAGGTTGAACATACATGCAAGGGCAAAAACATTAGACTCCATGAATCACGCTCAATTCCTCAGCGGAATGGGAAACCATAGGGGAAGTAAACTCATGGACAACGTCTCAAACTCCCTGTCAAAGTTGCCATAAGCTGCACTGCAGTGCCCGTGCAAATGGACAGCAATAGCAAACATCAATTTTCTACCACTGGATTTGGATGGACTTTGTTTGGCTCACTGCTTACCTCAGCAATCAGCAAGTAACATGGCCGCCTGTGAATCTCTGTCAGAACACAACAAAACCAACTTTGGACCTGCTCATGTGGAACAATACGTTCAATACGCTTTGCTGCGGGGTGGTTCATCAGTCAGAGTCAGTTTGATTGTCTGTCAACAATCAACGGGCACACGTCCGACAAAACCACGCGTACGTGCCGCCAACTTGAGCTATTCGCCAATCATGCCCCGTAGTCATGCATCTGTGCTTGAGCATTTCTCTGCTGCACGCGAGTGGCAACAGCTCGTGTGAATGGTTGTCCACTGGAACACAGCGGGTGATCGACCACGGGCGATTGATTACTCTAGGGACTGAAACGCACTGGATTGCCTTCGGCCCCTGAATCTAAAGTCTACTAGGGTGCCTGAAACATGGAATCCTGAAACAAGGTGCTTACAACTTACCCAAATCCCGAGACTAAGGGCCCTGCCCCGGTTTGTTTGTGCCATTGAAGAGAGCATCCGGATCAGTTTGGGGCAAGCTCCGGCTAGACCCTCGTCATGATGGATACCCGATTGAACACTGGCCAGCTGCCACGCCTTGTACCAGTTGCATGAAGTAAGTCCGCGCCTGGGTCCAGCCATTGGGAGGAAGGCTGTCTTCCTCTCCACTGAATATGCGGATTTGAATGCAACCATCAGCAAATCCATCAACCTGAATTTCGTCCGCTCGAATGTCCTGCAAGCTTGGGCGCCAAAGCCCTGGCGCACGATTTTGAGCGGCGGGAAGCAGAAAACCACGGCAGGGCCACGAAAAAGCGCCTGGCAGCCCGAAACCACGATGGGGGAGAACCCCCGGGACCCCTCGCTTCAGAGACGGACGCACGACCACTGCGCCACAGGCGCCGCGGCGGGGCCCCGCCGCACCCGCGGCTCAGTGGGGAAAAAACGCACCCTTTGCCTCGCTGCAGATCATCATGAGTCCGAAGAGAAGGATCTCCCCCAAGAGGAGTTTTCTCTACAAACCAGTGTTTTCCGGGTTCCTTCCGTTCCTTTGCCCGCACAATGTCTGGGCAAGTCCCTCAAACCCGGGGCCCAACACTCAGCTGACTGAGTCGCCACCAGCCGCTCGGGCCCCAAGATCTCCCGGAGCCCGTGCAGCAGCATGAAGGAGGAGACTGGCATGTGCCTCGACATTCGGAATTTTCGGCTCGGAAGAGAACTCACAAGAAACGGCTGCGGTGGTCAAAACCGTTTGGATCCCATTTTGGATGGTAGGTGAATTCACCACCCAATTAGAAGCAATGGCCAAATCTCGAGCAGACAAAAACACAATCAAACTGAGGTTTGGGGTTTCGCTTTCGACTCACCACTGACAGTGCTCGGCACATGTTCTTGTGCTTGCTGTTCCACTTCCCAGCTACCACAGGTCGCCGCTTGCCACTTGTGCAAGGTTTGGAACAAACCAATTTTTCTTCGAAACCAAGAGTGCAGTTCTTCCCCTTGACCCAAGAACTTATTACATGATGCATCCTCTGGGGTTCCTTGCCAACGTTTCCCATGAAAATAATGGCCCAAGAAAATCCAAATCCGCCGACATTGCGGAGGCGTGTCGGATACCTATAAGACAGAGGGCCCCCCCCCGCCCGACGTCTGATACGTTTAGGGGACGGGCGGTAATACCCCAAATTCCGCGCGGCTATTTGACGACGTTCCACTAAACGCAGTCTTCGGGGTCGCAAAACAGGGGTCGGCTCGAATCCCCCTGCCGGCTCTTTGCTGGTGTGTATTTCCTGCCTCCTTTTGCCAACAATCTGTAAAAATATGTGTTTTTTGATGTCCTCTTTGCGAAAACGCTGGAAAAAACAGTGCTTTTTGTGGGAAATACTGGGGAGCAAAGGGGAAATGCACGGAATTGAAAGGAAATGAGGGGAGGAAATAGGAAGTCGACATGACAGGAAAGCAAGGGGAAATGAAAGGGAAACAAAGGGGAACTGAAAGGGACATGAAAGGGAAAAAATGAAAACAAGCGGAGTGCAGGGGGAATGAAAGGGAAACAAAGGACGAGGAAACCAATCGGCACGACGGGAGATGTAGGGAAATGACTGGCAACGAAAGAACGGGACATACAATGAAGCGGACAAACCGAGAAAATGACCGGGACATGAAGGGGGAGTTGAAAGGAATGGAAGGGACAATGACCAGACATCATGGGAAACGTGCAAAGGACATGAAGGGGAAATCAAGCGGAAAGCCAGTAGTAAGCAGACAGTTCAGGGTCATGAAGGGGCAGTGCCCGCAGATCGAGGCAACTCAGGGGGGACGTGACGCTGCAATGCAGAGAGACAGGGAGAGAGCGGGAGAGAGAGAGAGAGAGAGAGGGAGAGAGAGAGAGAGAGAGAGAGAGAGAGACACAGAGAGCGAGAAAAAGAGAGAGAGAGAGAGAGAGAGAGAGAGAGAGAGAGAGACAGAGAGACAGAGACAGAGCCAGAGTCAGAGAAAGAGACAGAGACAGACAGAGAGAGAGATAGAGAGAGAGAAAGAGAGAGAGAGAGAGATTGAGAGAGAGAGAGAGACACAGACGGAGAGAGAGAGAGAGAGAGAGAAACAGAGAGAAAGAGCGAGAAAGAGAGAGAGAGAGAGACAGGGTCCTCCAGTAGAGAGGCTAGAACAAGGGTACCTTTTTTTCTGTAGAGGGGCGTGGACAGGACGGAGACAGGGAGACAGAAAGAGACAGAGAAACAGAGAGAGAGAGAGCGAGAGGGAGAGAGATAGAGAGAGACAGAGAGAGGGAGATTGAGGAGAGAGAGGCTTGGGGGGATGGGGAGGATGGGGAGCAGAGGGAGGGAGAGAGGACGACAGGACACATGGGGGAGGAGACAAGAGAGAGAGGAAGGAGGAGAAAAGGGAGAGGACAATGTTGGCGGACTGAGCCGGAGGCTCTAAAGTTTAAATGATGACAATCCTGAAGGGTAAACAATGGTGGGGAAATGTCTGTGGCTCAAAAGTCGTACCCAAAATTACCCCTCGGTAAATGGAAACAAAGACTAAACCCGCGCAACCCCAGCTCCTTATTTTTGAGCCACACCCCAATATGAACCCAACCATTGATTTAATGGTGGCCTGCCTCCCCAGTGATCCCAAGTGCCATTGCCAGGTGCTTTGCGGAAACTGAGGTAGAAGCACATCCCTTCAAACAAGCAGCATTATCAAGGCAGGATCTGTGGATACGCCCATTGGGATCAAAAATAAAAACAAGCATTGGGTTGGGTTTACATATGTATAACACCTGCGCAGTATATGCAACAATCTCAAATCAGGTCCCTCTGGCTAGTGCAAAGTCGGCACGTGGTTCTTGGTAGCTGCTGCCTTTTGTTCTGAACCCTCAACTCACTTCACATGAGCAACAAATCCTTCCTGGAGGTCCATGCATTGCAACGTTCGGGCGGATAATTTTGGCACACTGCGGGAATAAAACAGGCTACACAGGACCTAAGCATCGGGCAAATGAAGCTTTGTGCACCTTACACGCTTCAAAGACCCCTGAGATTAAAACCAACAAGTCCAAATGTCTGTGGCCCACGTGGACGTTTCCTAAATTCCCCCAAGCGCTCACTTGCGAGTGGAGCATGCCCTCCTCACTTAGGCCAGTCCCCAAAGCTTGCTGGCCTCCCCGAATGAACTGGGCGGTTCGTTTTCAGATCCCCTGCTAAATGGAAACAACCACTAAACCCAAAAAAGCCAAAAAAGCCTAAGGGGATGGCTGGAAATCACCAAGTTAAAAGCTCCGGAAAGTAACCTTTGGTTCCCAAACTGTTGGTTTCCCACTCAAATCATCTTCCCACAAAGGACTTCGGAACAGAAAATTTCAGCAAATCACCCTCGCCATCGAGTCACGACTGCTGCTCCGGCACAAGGAAGAGGAATTGCAAATGTTCCCTCTCGGACGAGGAATTGTAGCCCAGCCTTTGCTGTCAGATTGTCCTGGAAATCTTGGCTTCGACAAACGAAGATGACTAGCTGTTCTTCCATCGGGAAGCCACTGGGTTCGCCCAAACTAGTCCCTTCAAACATTGGTCTAAGTGTGACACGGAAACAACGTGATGTGGCAGTACACACTAACTTGAAAAGTACACTAAGCTGATCTAAAGCAAGAAACAAATGCAATCAAAACCAACCAGCCAACCAACCAACCAACCAACCAACCAACCAACCAACCAAACAACCAGCCAACCACCAGCCAACCAACCAACAAACCAGCCAAACACCAACCAACCAACCAACCAACCAAGCAAGCAAGCAACCAAACAAACACCCAAACGCAACCAATCAAGCAAACAGACTTGGACAGATCGCCCACGGCACACGGACAGGAAGTACTCCGCCATGGCCGCGGTAGTAAGACGATGCCGGGTCCACAGCAACAAGTCCTGAAAAGTCTCGGGCTGAAGATCAGGGGCTGAAACCGCACGCATGCTTCGCTTTCCGAAAACAACCCCCAGTTCTAAGGTCTTACTTAGTAAGAAATGACTGACTAACATGTTGCTCCTAAGTCCTATGATGTCTGAATTTGGTTTAAACCCAACTATGGTGGATTGCCTCATTGCTGACTACCTGTTTAGGATGACCTGATTGACAACTCAACTATTCCAAGCAAAAAGCCTCAGATCAATATATTCATAGGATCCACGTGGGTTCAAGGTGTTCCGCTTCCGCATTTGTCTCGATGGCCCCACCCCCTTCGCCATGCAACCTTTTTGCATTGGGCAAGTAACCCCTGCTTCCATTTGGTTAAGACCCCCGGAAAATAATATATATATATATATATCCAGTGGTGATAAATTCCTTTTCAAACCAACAAGGGAAAATACAGAATATTCTAAAGCAAATGGAAGCCTGTTGAGGCATGTTCATGTTCACCGAGAGTGGCAAAACCCTGTGTCCTACAACCTTGACCAAACTTGGTCGCTTAACAAGGAATACGTTGCATCTTCAATTGAGCTTCAAGAGACAGGTTGCCAACCGCCCTACTGCTGCTCCCTTACTTATGCTTCCGTGTTGTCTTCTTCCCCGGAAGTGAAAGGACCTCTTTCAAAGCGGCACTATGGACCAACCTGGGAACAACCTAAGAATCACAAGGCCGTCGCTGGGAACGCGGAAAACCTGTTCAAGCAACCTTTGCCCTTTTACGGGCTTGTCCAAATGTCATGAAACAAGCCTTGTAACGTCAAAAAAAAACGCAAGTCTGCGGGTATGGCTGGGAGACTCCAAGGTTAAGTTTCCCTCTTCCCGTCTGGTGAAGCACGTTTCTCGAAATAGGGGCATGGCTTTGTCCATTTCTTTTAGTGGACTCCCCAAAATGGCGGTGCCCATATGGGGTTGGTGGGCTCGGCTTAGACTTTAGGGTTTGGGGTTCGCCAACACAGCTTGGCGCCCAACAACAATTCAATTCGACTCACGAGAATGCAAAGGAGCAAACCACTTAACTCTTCTGGGAGGGGGGTTCCTCTTGGGCGCCCTCTAAACCCCCAAAAAAGAAAGTTCCCAAAAACCGACGAGCCACCCACATCAAATCCATCCTGCGCCAGCTGGAGGTAGGCTTCCCCGTCAAAGTTCTCAACGTCCAGTATGCCGACCCCCAGCCCTGGAAGGCGAAGCACTTTGGCCAATAGCTCCTGGAAGCAAAAACGCAAAAAAATCCGTGGTCACGGAAGGCAAACAAGGGTTGTTGGTACTCAAAAATATATAAACAGCAACTAGGTTGGATTCAAACTTGGTGTAAACAGACGATTTCCAAAAATATCAAGCAGAAACACTTGGACGACATGTAAACCAGTTGAGTGATTCAGAGTACCAAGTTCAAACACAAAAGGACAACCCGGAAAGGAGTTGACGGACTGCATGCTCATTCTGGTGATTGAAACTCCGGTTGATTTGTGCTTTGGCTTGGGATCTGGGCATTTTTTGGTGGACAACATTTCGGTGGGGGGTTCATGCCAACCGCTTTGAGGTCGGACCCCATTCAACGCCCCTTGGACTTGTACTAAGAATACTAATGGAAAAGAGGTTTGAAAGAGCTGCATGCAGCGAAGAGGATAGCTTGCAACCTTGGTCAAAACCAACGATTTAAAGGAGGCATTGTGGATTGGTTTGGTTTGAACAACGGATTTGTGACAAGGCTGTGTTCAACAAACCATACCAAAGGGAAAGCGCTCCTTGTTGACCGTGTACTCAGTGTACGGTCACGAGGCACGAATCACATTGCACAACAATCAAACTCTCATAAGCCACACCGCTGCCTGGAAGAGCGACACGCCAAGGACAACGTCATTATTGGACTTGGCCCCTGTTACGACAATCTATAGCTATATATAAATATACACATACTTTAGCTCGCCCCAGTTCATGGAAGCCCAAGATCCAAAAATGCCTGTGTGTCTGAAACTGAAAGTTCACACCTTGAGAAAAGACATTTCTGTCGCACAAGCCACTCAAAGAAGCACTGCTCCAAATCATTTTCCCTCTGCGAAAACCCCCGACAAGAATCGCATGCTCTTCCGGCTCCTTGTTGTGGTGCGCCAAGGAATGATTGAAGGTCTCCCCGACGTCCGGCATCACCGGCACGCACCCAGACGCCAAAATCTCCACGTGCCGGCCTGTTGAAGAACACGCCATGGCCGTCCCCTCATGGGATTTTGTTCATTTCAAGGCGATTCCTCTGATTTACATCCTTAATCATACGGGTATGGGCCAGAAAAAGCCGTCCGAGAGCATGTAAGACCTGCAAACATGACTGGGATCATAGGTTATATTAGTTAATGCAGACCCAGGATTAATAAACCCCCCCTATTAAAGCGCCTGGTTTTCCCGGAAAATCCCTCGCCAATACTCGTTTTAATTGAAACCCAGGAATTTCCCACACTAACAAAAAAATTCGCCCGAAACCCCCCCCTATTAAAGCTCCCCTCCCCCAAACCCCCCGCTACATCACGCGTTTTTAATCTAATTTTAACTTGCCCAACTTTTGCACATGCAGCAGCAGCACCCCCCCATTAGTAAAGCCAACACCCCCCTATTAATCTACCATGGTTGATGCCCTGCTTTTGCACCCCCCCATTAGTAAAGCCAGCACCCCCCTATTAATCTACAATGTTTGATGCCCTGCTTTTGCACACCAGCTCCTTTTTTACTTGCAACAGCAGCAACCCCCCATTAGTAAAGCCAACACCCCCCTATTAATCTACCATGTTTGATGCCCTGCTTTTGCACCCCCCCATTAGTAAAGCCAGCACCCCCCTATTAATAAGGTTCCCTGACCTTCCCACAAGGTTCCCTCACCTGACCTTCCCGCAAGGTCCTGACCTTCCCACAAGGTTCCCTCACCTGACCTTCCCACAAGGTCCTGACCTTCCCACAAGGTTCCCCCACCTGACCTTTCACAAGGTTCCCTGACCTTCTCACAAGGTTCCCTCACCTGACCTTCCCACAAGGTCCTGACCTTCCCACAAGGTTCCCTCACCTGACCTTCCCACAAGGTTCCCTGACCTAACCTTCCCACAAGGTTCCCCTTCCCACTATATTGGGGGGGGGCCCTCAAAAAAATGACAGACCTGACCTTGTGACCTTGAGGGGGGGGGGGGGAGGGGGGCCGGTTTATTAATCCGGGGTCTGCATTAACCCCCCCAAAGCCCCTTGATGGACATATTCATGCGGATAAAAGTCCCCCCCACCACATTGAAAGGTGTTCCTCGTTCAAATAGCTCGCTTTATGCCAAGGGCTCCCAGGTTTCAGGTAAGCTCGCTATTTGTACAGACGATATGACCTCAGGTCGAAATGCGCAGCTCCTGCAACAAATATATAAGAACGAGTGAGTAGCTCTGGTTTTTGTGGTGGATCTGCGCATGTCCCTCCAGCATACACCGTAGACTACGGCTGGATATCTTAACAAAACTGGGATTGAAAGGCACCATGAAACACGTATCAAGCAGGGTTCGCCTCGTGACGCCCTTTTGAACAATTGAAGGGACCACTTGCCAAAGGACTTCTACACTTGCGTGTGTCTATTGTCTTAGGTCTAAGATGCTTAACATCCGACAATGGGCTTTATGCCTTAGCGGCTACTTATACGTGGCTGCGTGTCCCATCCCATTTCCGTGGAGGCAGTCATTTGGGGAAGCGGAACATCTTAGATTGGGCGGCCGTTATGGACCGTTTCTGGTGCTTTGGAAGGACCAAAAGGAAACCACCACCATTGTAGGGGATCCCTCATTTTCGTAAGCCTACTTCTCTATGTTCCCTGTCGCCTCAGAAACTACCCTATGCATTCGCAGCCTCCCGGGCCGCAAAAGAGGATGTCGGAGGTTGGGCCTTTTGGCAGAGAAAGAACGGGCTTCAACCTAAAAGGGGGCTTTCCATCTTGATTCGGGTTACACCGTCACAATTCTATTGGCTGATTCCAAATCCATTCTTTTCAGCCATCGTTCTTTAAAAGACCAGCCATTTTTGCAGGTACTTAGGTGGTTTTCTAGAAAGATCCGAATCCGTGGAAAGAATGGGGAAGCAGAACAATCCTCTCTTTGCAGCACGTTGGTGAAAATTCACTGGAGACACGCTTGTGGGGCCAACCCTCTCCTGCATCGTTGCCGCTCTTGCGGGTGGTCACCGCGAACATGGCCTCCTCATGTTGCTTCGTGCCCTTTGAAGGGGATCCAACTGCCATCCAGTCTAAAAACAGAAAGCCGAAGGCCAAAGAGCACAGAGTTCATAGGTTTTCAGCACCAACGAAGAGCTCAACTGGAACTGGCCTTAACAGGTGATGTTTCAAGCCCGGGAACGAGAAACAATAGGACACCTCGACTCAGATCGCAAACAATTGGATGGCATCGTTGCCTTAACGCCATCAACACGGCAAGTCAAGTGCTCGCCCAAACAAAATGAAACCTGCGGCTTGCCGCTGAAAGCCCAACCTAAACATGCCCTTAATCATATCTGAAACCAAGCCCCAACATTCTGACCCATAAACCAACACCCGACCCTAAACCAATCTACACCCACCCGCGTGAACGTAGGCTGGAATGCAGGCAAGCCAACCCCACAAGCGCTTTCGATGTTCATGGTAAGTGCTGCCGCATTGCCTTAACCTCGAGGAGTTCAAACACAATCTTGACCAACGGAAGCAGGCCCTGGTGCGTCATCTTGAAAGCCCTCAAATCAACATCTGCAATGTTAAAAGGAAGAATCTCCTGCTTAAATGGCCCAAACCTAGGGAAGAAGGTAAACTCTGGTGAAGAAAACGATGGGCAAAAGGATGGGAAGTTAGATTTCACGTGGACCCTTTTAGGGCTCTAAATCGCCCTCGTCAGGGGGAAGTGTACCAAGTTACCTTGAGGGGCTCACAGCGCCTCCTCTAAGTTGCTTGCCGCACCGTTTTCTCCGGGTAAAACCACCGGAAGGCAATCCACTACAACCCTACGACAAAGTTCCTATCATTGGCCTGGGTTCGCCAGTCTTCGGGGTCGCGATTTGTCCAAGACATCAACAGGACGCCAAAAGCAGCCATTTTTAGGCCAAGGCGTGTAGATTTTGCAGAGTCCAGGGTCCTGGTACATGCGGAAGTACTCCGAAATGGCGACGGCGTCGTCCAATTGTGAAAAGACGTAGGTGGTTGTGTCACCTGGCAGTGGACTTGCAAAGTGCTGAAACACTATATTTTGTGGGAAATCATTAGCCACCTTCAGCAAACGGATGAAACCCCTGGTTCCCAAACTTCAGAAGTTGTAGCACCCAAGCCGCAAGGGAAGGCCGTTTCTTACATCCACACAAGATGCAGTTTCACTCCGTCGTTTGGTTGAGCGGGTGTGAAGAGACCAAATGAGCAGCGCTCAATACCACATATGTTCGATTCTACCGCTATCACGTTTGAATTTGGCACTATAGCTAGAACCCCCTTCTAAACTGGGCGGTAAACCTGTTCATCCTTCCAAACCCTTCTGATCTTCCCCTCTATATAATCCTCCCCACGCCAAACATAGACTTCTGCATGTTGGTCGGCTGCGAAAACGATTGCGCACTGCCTAGTAGTTGGGGCTCCCCCCCACCCAACCAGGACGGGGTACCCGAGCAATACAAGTAACAAAGCGTTTATGAATCAACTGGGTTGCCATTGCAGTCGGGTGGAGGCCATGTCAACATTTGGATGTCGTTGCTTCAGGAGCAGGATGTGTCTGTTTCACCAAGAAACTAAGGGAAATCCAGTGCCCCCCCTACTCACTTGACAGTTGATCAATATTCCTGTTTCCGGAAAGCGCCATCTTCGCCAGAAAACAAGCTTCTTTTGCGAATCTTTCGCGACTCCATCGCCACACCCTTTTGTTTGCAGCGTGCGCTCTGGAGCCATTGTGGCCGCCGCAGTTATGCTGGCAAACACGGTGGCCGCAGTTCACCTGTGTGCAGTACGTAGTGTCAAGTGCAAGCAGTCACCTTCATTCGCCCTTGCCACTTGCGCTTGCCGGCGATGTGCGGAACATTGCAATAAGCTCCCTGGCCTTTCGCCGGTCTTTCGCGAAACTTGCTCCAAAATAGCCCAGCCAACGTTATTGATGTGCACCATTCCCAACACTGGCAGGGAATCAATAAAACAAGTGTAGGTACTGCGTATCTCCCTATCTACAAGGGAGCGGGGTCTGCAAATATGTAAGTGCACAGGCATGCCTCCAAGAATCCAACGCGAAATCGTTCGCGGAAAAATAAGTTTCTTTCGCGAACTCCATCGCCGATCTTTCGCGGAGGGATTTAAGCCAAGACGAATGGTCACCGAATACATAACTCCTTGCAAGGACCTTTTGATCAACCCCCACTTGTCCTCTTCATGAGTCTTTATGTTGCAGAGCAATTCGCCTTTTGACGGAGTGTTTTTGAGGCAACCAAAAAAATAGAGCGGGGAAACCACAAAGAAACCCATAACCTTCTTGGCAACCACAAGAGACCTTATTGGGTTGTTCTGAGTTGCTCATGTGGGTTTGACTCAAAATCGGCCCCCCAGAATTACCGTTTGCTTTGTAGTTTGCCTGGAAAACCAGCCCCCATGTTGGGTACACCCTGCACTCCCTTCCAGAGTGGACAAAAAAGTCACCAAACTTTTGGTTTGCCACAAACATTTTCCAAACCCAACAAGTCTAAAGGCCACGAACTCGGGAGTGAGTGAACCCCCCCCCAAAAAAGAAACTCCTCCCGTGGCGTCCCTGTTGTTTTGAAACCCTACAAAACCTTATCCCACATTTGGGGGAATGACCCTGAACCAGACGAGCCACCCACATCTCCCAAACCCACGGCTTCCGCTTCTCCGATTTTGAAGCGCGCCGCGCCTGGCCAGGCGAGGGCGAAGTCGTGGCTCTTCACAGGCAGGCACTCGACCACCAGCTCGCCCGGCACGGAGTAGGTCAAAGGATACCTTGCAAAAGGCTCTTGGGAGGGAATCCCTTCCCTCAAATGCTAACCCCAAGTGGCCTCCTAGTCTGTCAGAATCTGTCACAAATTACATAGTGTAAATTTCTCCCCCTAATACTGATCCTGGAGCTCCAGCTGCTGGGGGTTCTTGGCCAGGGTTTGGTTGCTGGGATTTGTCTCAAATGGGGAAGACCCCCCACAAATGTGGGTGTGGCTCAGAATCAGAGAGGTAGGGGTACGTTTCTTGCCAAGGTGCCATTTTGGTACACATGTTTGAGCCACAGCCAAAACCCTAGAAAACACCGCTCAAAAGACCCACTCCAAATTCCCCCCAAGAGATGCATCCAGGACCCCCCAACTAAGGAAAACCGCCAAACCAAATGGCTGTACCAAAATGGCACCCTTGGCAAATGGAACCAAAGACCAAATCCTGCGCAACCCTGGCTCCTTAATTTTGAGCCACACCCAAAGGAACCCTGGGTGGTTGAAAGATACCGCTGATCTTTGGTGTCTGGACCCCTTTCAAGTGCAAAGCCGCTCTGAACAGCTCCGTGGGCCCAATCAGCTGGCACAAGCGGCTCCAAATATGAGAGTCCGACGCAACGTCAAGCACCAAACCATTTCCTCCATGTTAGAACCGGATGAACTACTCCATCATTGAAGTGGGTGAGTTTTTCCATAACTGGGCAAATGGCTCCATTCACTGGGTGGATGTTCATTGCTTCACCAACCCCACCCCACTCCAGAACAAGATGGAGCTGAAGGAAAAGAACCACGGGACTGCATGCGAATGGTCAAGTTACACGGAGGGCCAGGACGTCCTTTGGCAAACTTCCGGGCCCTTTTCTGCTGGGCGCCCAATGCAAATTGAACGCCGCGCAAATGGCGCAAGAAGAACACGCCTAGCTGCACTTCCCTGACTGCGTGATTGTCCTGACAAAAGCAGGCGAAACCCAAACCGCGGCGCTAAAGCCACGGGTCACTTCAGATTTGCAGGCGACTTTCACCCGAACGCTGCCATTGAGTGAGCTGCCACCTTGCGCTGCATGGATGTTGCCCCTTGGGAGGCCCCCCAAGCCACAACCCGAGCCACCAGCGGCTCAAAGCGACTGGCAATCGGAGCCCGGTCCGCTGTCAACGCTGTATCTGCAGCACCCACTGAGCGAGGGCCCGCGCAAGAAGCACCGCGATCTTGCAGCGTGGCAAAGGCACAGCTCGCACTGGGCCTCTGCGCACCCCGCACCTCAGAGGAAGCTATATGCTCAAAGAGTTGCGTCATCCTCCCCGACAGTTTGCAAGTATGTCCGGAGGAGCAACCCCATCACCCAATGCGTGTCAAAGGCCTCATTTGGACTGCGAGACTGCATGCAACAGCCGCGCGTCCCAAGCGCATAACTTCCCTGGTGTGAGCGACCGCCAGCCGTGCGTGCGGCGCATGCAGCGCAGAGCACGTCAGTTGGCCAGGCTGGAGCTGGCGAGGGTGGTGTCGAGACATGGCGCTTCTCTAGGAGGGGCTGCCTGCACAAGGCTCCGGGCGAACTTAATCACCGAAACCGCAAAACCCACTTTTGGTGTGCCTGGAGAAAGCGGGCGGAATGGCACTGCCCTGCAAGCGAGGCGAGAAAAGAACCTTCGCAGCGCGGAAAAGTGCGCTCTTTGCAGAATCCCTCGGCGAAGCAACACGGCTTGGAGAACCTGTTTGCTGGGAACACAATCAGCTGACCCCTGTCTTATTGTCCCCTGGCCAGTTTTCAACTCATTTTCCCAGGCTCAGCTCCACGGCAAGTCAAAGATGGCGGCAAACAAGCGCCCTTCAAGCGCTTCTTAGCAAGTCCAAACGGACGTGGTCCGAATCCACAGCGCCTGAGGTTGACGCGTCCCCATGGCGCCGGAGGCGCGTTTGCCAGGGCTGCCCTCACTGCAAACGTCTGTGCGCCATGGGAGTTCGCTCGGATTCAAGGGTGGAGCTCAAACAGAGCAGCGCAAGTGAGTCATAATCAAAACCCGGTATTAAAATGGTCTACCCCCAGCCAAGTAAAGAATCAAGAAGGCGGAAATTCGCAACTATTCATGGTTGGGATTGTCTCTCACTAAGCTTCATCTACCCAGGCTTTGATTGTGACTCAAGCGATGACAGCCATGTTTCCTCATGGCCTTTGCAAAGCTGGAGTTCAAGCAGGGCGAAAGGACTGGGCATACAAAGCGCCGGGCAGGAAGCACCCGGGCCTGCGCCTGAGTGCGTTTCTCGGCAAAGTACCCGAGACACAAGGAGTGGAGATGGCTTTCACACGCAGCGGTGACTGACCGAACACTGATGTCTCTGGCCAACCACCGAGGCAAAACGTGCGACTGGGGTCGACAGAGAACATTGCGACGCTGACGTGCACGAGCACTTGCACACAGGAACTTTGAGCTCAGAATTGCTAACGCATGTCGTTTCTTATCGGTATCGTCTGCATACTGCTGGGCCTGGCAAAGCTTCCAAAGCCGTCTGGTGATTGAAGTTAATTGCAGAATAAACGCGACTTGCTATCCAATGCTTTCCAAGGGTTGTCCGCATCAACTGACTCGCACCAAAAGAGAAATGTCCTAAATAAGTCCCAAACGTGTCATGATTTGCTATGTCGTATCATTCTGCTTATGCCACCAGCTTACGCCACCTTACGTGTGTGGAGTTTTTGCTTACGCGACACATTTGGAGGTTTTGCTTACGCCACCAACTTACGCCACCTTATGCGCGTGGAGTTTTCCTTACGCGCTGGTCGATGTGACATGACTCTTACTAAACATGAACATGGAGGTGTTGGACGCCGCTCAGATGTGTTGCTGGCTTGTTGGCCCAGGGCCAGGCCAGTAAGCCTTTCCTTGGCAACTGGTGGCCATGGGGTCAGGAGCAAACCCGGGCCTCTCCACTGCTACACTGCTACACTGCTACAATGCAGACTTGCGTTTGCCCTTCCAAACACTCTTCGGAGTCACAAGCGGCTGGCGGCAGGTCTTTCCAGGCGATCGAATGCTTGCCGAGGCTGGCCACTTCAAAGCCACGGCCAGCGCGCTTTTCAAGTACAGCAAGGGAATGGACCCCATGCTGCCGATCGATGAGCCCTTCAAGCCCGCCCAATGTGATCCCTTTCAAACACGTGCACGCCATCACGGAGGCTAAGCACCGGGATCAAGCTACTTCAGTGCCCTGCGCCAGCTCGAAGCATGCCACTGCAACAGCGGAATCGTGCAAATCGGGGTTGCTGAAACGGGCGACGCCGCAAAAAGGTTAGGCGGATGCGAAACGAACCAAGCGTAGTCTTTCGAGGCCCTTGGACGATTCGCGGAAACCAGCCTCAGTGGCGCCAGTTTGCCGCTTTCAGCCTGCGGACGGGTAGCACAAAAGATGGACTTGCTGATGTTCCTTTGGGGCATGCAGAACCAGCTGAACCAACAGAACCAACAGCCAAGATGCGACACAGCTCAATTTCCTGGGCGTCTATTCGCGAAGCTCACGCTGAGAATTGCCGGGAGTTGCGCGGAAAGATCCAGCCAAAGCACACAAGCAGAGCTTCTGGCACAAAGGCCTGCATTCAACAGCACTGACCGAGGGTCAAACCCACGCAGCCAAAAATAGAGGACGTGGCAAGTACGGCACACGAACCTGAATCAGGGCTTGGTAAGGCGCTGGAAGGAAGAGCAAGCGACACGTCAAGCAAGCAGCACAGAGAAGTGCACATCAAGACATTCGCGCAAGCTTTCAGCTTTCTGGCTGCATGTTTGGCAGCATGTTTGGCAGCATGTTAAGCGACAATCAGGTAAAAACAGACAAGGCTCCATGCAACACGAAGCCGACATCAAGGGCTTCATGCCAACATGCCATGTGTTGCATCGCTGTGCCATGCCACGTTCGTCCCCTTTTTGGCATTGCCAAGCGGACTTAAGCATCCGTTGGCATATTACAGTCGGACCAACCGCGAAACTTGGACAGCAAGCGGCATGTCAAGTAAGCAGCACAGACAAATGCACATCAAGACAATCGCACAAGCTTTTGGGTTTCTGGCCGCATGTTGGGCAGCATGATTGGCAGCATGTTGGATGACCCGACATCAAGGGCTTCATGCCGTGTATTGCATCACTGTGCCATGCGACGTTGGTCCCCATTGCCAACCTGACTTAAGCATCCGTTGGGATACTACAGTCGGACCAACCGCGAAACGGGAACAGCAAGCGGCAGGCCAAGCAAGGGGCACAAACAAGTGCACATCAACACATTCGCACTGGCTTTCAGCTTCTTGGCTGCATGCTTGGCAGTATGTTTGGCAGCATGTTGAACGACAGACAGGTGAAAACAAACAAAGCTCCATGCAACACGAAGCCGACATCACGGGCTTCATGCCATGTATTGCATCGCTGTGCCATGCGACGTTGGTCCCCATTGCCAAGCTACAGTCGGACCAACCGCGAAACGGGAACAGCAAGCGGCAGGTCAAGCAAGGGGCACAAACAAGTGCACATCAAGACATTCGCACTGGCTTTCAGCTTCTTGGCTGCATGCTTGGCAGTATGTTTGGCAGCATGTTGAACGACAGACAGGTGAAAACAAACAAGGCTCCATGCAACACGAAGCCGACATCGAGGGCTTCATGCCATGTATTGCATCGCTGTGCCATGCGACGTTGGTCCCCATTGCCAAGCTACAGTCGGACCAACCGCGAAACGGGAACAGCAAGCGGCAGGTCAAGCAAGGGGCACAAACAAGTGCACATCAAGACATTCGCACTGGCTTTCAGCTTCTTGGCTGCATGCTTGGCAGTATGTTTGGCAGCATGTTGAACGACAGACAGGTGAAAACAAACAAGGCTCCATGCAACACGAAGCCGACATCGAGGGCTTCATGCCATGTATTGCATCGCTGTGCCATGCGACGTTGGTCCCCATTGCCAAGCTACAGTTGGACCAACCGCGAAACGGGGACAGCAAGCGGCGGGTCAAGCAAGCAGCACAAACAAGTGCACATCA